AAAAAAAATCTTTTCTAATATTTTTATGGAAGTTCCTACATTCCAACTCAAACCCATTATTCCTTGTTCTATTGCTGGGCACCACCAAGCAGAGATGTTCAAGTCCCTTCATCATACTCGGAGCTCTCCGTTGGACGTTCAACGGAGAGATCCGAGGATGGCGAAGGGCGTTTTTTTCACCCTCTCTGGGCAGCCTGGGCCAGGGCTCTGGCACCCGCACAGCCAAGAAGCTTCTCCTCACGTTGAGGTGGAACCTCCCATGTTCTAACTTACACCCGTTATTCCTTGTTCTATTGCTGGGCACCACTGAGAAGAGATTGTCCCCTTCCCCTTGATCCCTGTAAGATCCCCTCTCAGCCATCTCCTTTCAAGGCTGAACAGCCCCAGGTCTCTCCGTCTCTCTTCCCAGCAGAGATGTTCAGTCCCTTGATCCCCCTCAGAGCTCTCCCTTGGACTCTCTCCAGTAGGTCCCTGTCTCTCTGGAACTGGGGAGCCCCAAACTGGACACAGGGTTCCAGGTGAGGTCTCCCCAGGGCAGAGCAGAGGGGCAGGAGAACCTCCCCAGCCCTGCTGGACACACTTTTCTTGGTGCCCCCCCAGGATCCCACTGGCCTCTTGGCCACAAGGGCACGGTGCTGTCCCAGGGACAACTCACTCCCCACTGGAAGCCCAAGGGCTTTCTCCATGAAAGAATTCACTCACACTGGTAAAAAAGCCAAGACTTTGTACTGCAACACTGCATGTTCCGAAAGGTGTTGATGGCGTTCCCGTGAGCCCCACCACTGGCAGGAAATACTTGTAACACACTGAGCTTGGGAATTGCTTTGGCAAACGTAAAGAATGAGGAAGACAGACACAACCATTAACTGATAAGGATTTATGAATATTGGCGGTGGCCACGGCTGAGAGAGCCCAGCAGCACCGGGCAGCGGCACGAAGGCCACTCTGTGGGACTGAGCCCCCGTGGTACCACCGTGCCAGAGCGCCTACAGGACCTCCGACCGACGGAGGGAACAGGCTCGTGAGGCGACAGCGCTGGCTGTCAACACCGATTTGTTCACAGCAGTAGGGACAAGGCCTTTTGGGAAGATGCGAGTGTGTGACCAGGTGACAAAAAGAGCAGATCAAACTGATGGTGAACACTGATGACGTGATGGGGGACACACAAAAGGCTCCAGCCCAAAGGGCTCTAGGTTGAGCATGACTGTCCCTAAGCAAGGGTCTGCAGCCCCGACCACTGGGCGACGGAAGCAGGCAGGGCCCTTAGGGACTGCGTGGCCCTGCGTTACGATACACAGCTCTAACAACTCTCCTTTCCTGTCTCTCCCATAGGCCTCCCAGCAAGTGAAGAGGCCCCGTGCCCGAGAACAGAAGGCGCTGTAGGCCTTAACAAAGAGAACCACAGCAGCCACAGCAAGACAGGTAAGGACAGGCCACGGATACTGAAAGAGTTACAGAGTCAAGCTGGGCTTTGGCGGTGGGAAGGGAACAGTTTTCAAATGCAGCTTGTTACCATCTTAAATAAAAACACCAATCGCTACTGGCACTTTACAGCATCTGAGGGGAAAGATACAGAGAGAAAAGTGGAGATTCTTCTAGTTTTAGTGATATCACCCCAAAGCTTACCCCACTATCACCTCCCAGTCCTACCACACCTATTCACATGGTAGCTGTAACACCTGCTCCCCTCACACCACCTTATTCCTTTAAAAATCCAACCAACCAAACCCAAATGCCTTGATGACTAGAGCTTAAACGTAAGATAGGATGGCAGGTCCTCGTACAGGAGAACAACGACGAGGAGATTAACTGCAGGCTTTGGGTGTGAACACGGGTAACAACTGCGCCAGGGCTCTACTGATCCACGCAAGCTCCCGAAAAGCACCTAAGCTGGTCGGCCTTTACAGCATCTGCAAAAGACAGACACTTTTACCTAGTTAAAAAAAAATAATTCCATTTCTAGTTATTGCAGGGTTGCAGTCAGGTTCCAATCCACTCCATAGAGGCATCAGCTACCAACTCTGAATTCTGGAATTAAGGAATTTCTTTATTTTCCAAGAGATAGGTTAGTTCTCTTTTCTTTCCTCCCAGCTCCACAACATGTGTTTTCCAGTTGCCTAGGTTTGCATTTGCCAAACACAGTAGCATTGTATCTGTTCTGCCCTCCCTACAGAGGATAATCCACCCCCATAAACATTCTGTCAAAGAGAAACAGACGCAGATGTGATTTCTTCTTGGAGATCCTCTAAAATGCAAATCCAAATGACTCGAGAAGACAGCTCTAGCTTCTACGTTATGCCAACACACAGACACGCTCCTGTATGTCACGCTACTAAAAGTAGAAGTTTAAAGCAAACTGTGCTAGCTGCACAAGGCTTGCTTTCAAGTGAGTATTAGCAAATATTGGCATACAGCAGTTACTTCCATGCCTGACTAAGAGTGACTTCTATGCCTGTACGCAAACCAGAACATTTCTACACGGAATGTTCATCTCCTTCCCACGCGTTCTAGTAAACCAGTGCTAAAAACCGTCCTGGTCCTTAAGGGTTAATGAGATGGATTTAGAGCCACAAAATCACTGCGGCTCAGTCCTGTTCCTAGTTGGCAGAAAAGGGGCAGCACAGGGCTTGAAGACCAAGGATCAAAGTCAAAGGGAGAAGCAAAAGGATTGTCTGTCCAGAACAGCAGTCTGCCCTTGAACGTCACCAAAACGGAGACGGCACCGCTTGGGAAACGCAAACTACACGTCCCCACGGGAAATGAGAACATGATGGTTTCCGAGAAGCGTGCCACGCTTATTTTGCAGTAAGAGTAGAAACCTTGCACTAAGAAGGTTTTATCTTACTGAGATAATCTTTCTCTGCTTCCAGGAACAAAGCCACTGCAAGATGTTCAACTCCAGCACAAGCTCCTGGGGAAACAACTGCAGTCACAGCACGGTTGTAACCACGACAGTCATTCCCCTGCTCTACTGCTTGATTTTCATAGTAGGCCTCGTGCTGAACGCTGTGGCAGCGTGGATCTTTCTGCACGTTCCCAGCGAGAAGAGTTTTATCGTCTATCTCAAAAACATCGTTGTTGCCGATCTCCTCATGAGCTTGACGTTTCCTTTCAAAATCCTCGCCGATTCAGAAATTGCAACTCCACAGCTCAACATGTTTGTGTGCAGATACTCTGCCGTCATTTTTTATATGAACATGTATATTGGGATAACGTTCTTTGGCCTCATAGGTTTTGACAGATACTACAAAATTGTAAAGCCTTTATTCACCTCCTTTGTTCACACGGTTAACTACAGCAAGGTGGTCTCTATAATCATATGGTTATCGCTAATGCTCCTATCGCTCCCAAATATCATTTTAACTAATGAAATCACTGAAGAAAATTATTCTGGAAAATGCATAGGTCTTAAAAGTGAGCTTGGCAGGCAGTGGCACAAAGCATCAAGTTACATTTGCACGGGGATTTTCTGGATCGTGTTTCTCCTGCTCATCATTTTTTACACTTCTATATCCAAAAAAATATACAGCTCTTACAAAAAATTCAGAAGAAACTCAGAGGCGACCAAGAGAAAAACCAACCGTAACATATTCAGCATCATGTTTGTATTTGTCATTTGCTTCGTGCCCTATCACCTCTGTAGAATACCTTATACTCTGAGCCAGACCAGCTCACAATTCGACTGCCAGTCAGAAAAAACTCTGTACTATGCAAAGGAATTCACTCTCATCCTCTCTGCTGCAAATGTGTGCCTCGATCCCATTATTTATTTTTTCCTCTGCCTGCCCTTTAAGGAAAAGTTGTATCAAAAACTGCATCTCGAGCTGAAAACTTCAAGTGACGTTGAAATTTCTAAATCCAAAAGATCAAATACACTGCGGGAAAGTATAAACGTAGTGTAGGGTCAGGCCTGTAAAATAACACGCACTGCCGAAAGTTAGGCAAGAATGGAAACGTCTCAGAGAAGCTCAAGAGAGGAGAACCAGCAACAAAACCGAAAAAAATTGTTTCAGCTCAGAAGACCCCGTGGTGTTTCTCTGCATAGAATTATTATTGCACATTGCCAATATATTCAGCACGTGCTATTTCGGCTGACGTCATGATTGCATTACGGGATGATGGGACCTACCGAGATCTCAAAAAAAGGAAGAGGAATAACTGGAAGAGCACATTCCGGAGCGCCAGGCCACAGTCCTCTGACCAAATCCCCCAGTGATCAAACCGATCTGCTGCTGTTTCTCACAAAGCCGGGCACGACACGCGTGAGGGGGAACAAACCAGCCTGGGTGGAACTGATGGCTGCCCCTCGGCCAGAGCTGACCCCCCGGGCAACACCAGGAAGCTCAGCTTAAGGAAGGACTTGGGAGAAAAAAAAAAAAAGATTTTAAAAAACCCAAACAGATCAAATCCTCAAAAATCTGCACAAAGCCTGAAAAACCCTTGCTAAAATTTTTACACAAATGAATATTTTTAATGTGTATTTTTTATATATGTACATATAGGATTTCTTAAGGGAAGCATTCTATAAAATTAAGAATTAAGCATGATTACTTGTCACTCTTCGGCATAAAATGTCAGAGTACTTCTATAAAATGTGATGCCCAATATAAGGAACTGTTTCAAAAGGATCTTTCTACAAACTGAACAGCAGTTACACTGCGCTCTATTCCCCAGGACTTCTCTGCAATACCAGGACGTACAGCAAAAACATTCACACCAAACTGACTGAGATTTTAGTAACTCCCTTGCTGCTGTTGCAGGAGGTAAGAACACCTGAGGAACCACCTGAAAACACGCACTTACAGCTGCCCAGAAATTCTGGAGGATATTTGAATCCACAAAGAACGATTTGCTGGTGTTTCCATGCTTTTAGCACGACGATAAAGCATTCCTCACTGTACAAAAGGTAATTGCTGAAAGCCACCAACCTTCCATATATAAATACAATCGCCATTGTAACTTTATTTTTCAGTGTCACTTTTTTTTAATTGATTTTGTCATTGCACAAGGAAAACACATCAGTGCATAAAGCATCCACAAAAGCTTTCAGGCAGCGGCTCTGGAAGCTGAATGCTCTCACTTTACTTCATGAAGAATATATAGGAGCTGCAAGCAGAAATAACACGTGCTTCACCTTTCTGCTGCTCTGTTTCATCCCAAACCAGCCCTCTGGAGCTGCAGGAGACAGCTGTGTTTTTGTTGTGGTTTTTAAAGAAAATACATAAAAGATTATTTATATGATTCCTTCAGAGCTCCCTGACTCCGTCAGACTGAGACTTTGCAGGCTCTTCCCGCCAGGCGAGGGAAACGGCCTGTTGGGGAAGGGAATTTGGGGCTTTGTGGAGACTTCTTGTCATTTATGGCAAAAACATTTAGTTCCTTACATGGCCTGGCGTGGTGTTTGCCTGTACAAAGCTAAATCATCACGGCTGTGAAAGCAGTCTGGCGTACAGGCATGAAAACACTTTCATAGTATGTATTTGTGTAACTTTTTTATTACCGTGCAAGCTTTGAAAAAATTGCATCATAAAATTGTTTCCTCACTCCACCAGACTACTGACACTGAAGTGACAAAAAATCTATCTACAGGCACGCAGGGGAAGGGATGCTGAGCAACACCCTCCTTCACAAGGGACGTCACGTTTTGGTTTGGAGTGCTTTCACCTGAATGGGTCGCTTTGCAAAACATTCTTCCTCCACCAGTTTCACTACGCGGAAAACGCTCCTGTGACCCAAGATCCCAGGGCAATCTGCCACCCTGTGTGTGACAAGCCTCACACAACACGTTCTTAAACCAACCTCACGCTCCACTTCCCAGCCGTGCTCCTTCCGTCGCTGTATGAGCTGAGATGGGAAGGTACAGGGCCGCTTTCCTCTCCGCACTGGCTACGTTCACCCCTTCACACCTTCCCCAGCACATCACACCTCAGACTTTGCCAGCTCCTCAGAGCCCCAGAAGTCTCATGGTCACACTCATCCCAGCGCCTCACCCCCCAAGGAACCTCCCTGCAACTCCGGCAGCGAGAGCCAGGGCTAACCCTGAGCTAACCAAGGCTCCTGTGGGCAAGGCGACTCTCAGAGTTTAACTTTGCAGAACGTCATCTCAGAAAATCACAGACTGCTGGGGGTTGGAAGGGTTGGAAAGGATCATCTAGTCCAACCCCCTACCAGAGCAGGATCCCCCAGAGCAGGTCACACAGGAACATGTCCAGGTGGGTTGGAAAGTCCCCAGAGCAGGAGACTCCACACCCTCTCTGGGCAGCCTGGGCCAGGGCTCTGGCACCCGCACAGGGAAAAAGTTTTTCCTGATGTTTTTGTGGAACCTCCTGTGCTCCAGCTTGCACCCGTTGCCCCTTGTCCTGTCATTGCACATCACTGAGAGGAGCCTGGCTCTGTCCTCCTGACACTCAAACGCTTTCCGTATTTATAACCATTCATGAGGTCACCCCTCAGGCTCCTCTTCTCCAAGCTGCAGAGCCCCAGCTCCTTCAGCCTTTCCTCCCCAGGGAGATGTTCCATCCCTCCACCATCTCCCTTAAAAAACGATCTCTGTTGTGAAAAACACAACAAAACCAATTCACCCCAGAGAGGGCAGATGCCACTTCACCCCACAGGGGCACACGGCTGGAGCGGGGCAGCACCGCTTGCATTCGCTGCCTTAGGGCAGAGGGGACAGGAGGGAAGGGCTGGGTGCCCGCTGCCAGCACCCTCACGGGTATTCTCCCATCTCGCCCCAAGAAGTAAGCCTTTTATTATTTTTAGGAGAAATCTCCCTGAGCACAATTAAAAGGCAGCGCTGGGGTAGCCGCAGAGACGCCCAGCGGGCGGGTGAGCTCTGCCGGCACCGCTGACGTTCCTCCCCAGGACGTGGTTACCCACCCGCAGCATCCCGAGCTCACAGAGCGGATCCCCCCGCTCCAACATGCTCAGTGACGCACTGAACACCTCTTACCTCTTCGTGCTCTAAAATAAGTAGGCAAACAAGCTTTCTCTCCTTCAGAAACAGCAATTTCTGCTCAGAATTTGTAACTACCACATGCCAGGATCGCTCACGTTTTTCACTTACAATGCAGGCATTACAACAGGGTTTAAAAAATAAATAAATCCATCGACGAAATTCATAAAAAGCAGTAAGAGAGAACACTGAACTTGCTATTTTTCACATGACAAAAAATAAAAATCAGAACACAACCTCTTGGCTACACGATTGAGAGACAGTAAAGATACCACTCAAAGATTGTGCCTCAAAGCCGTACCTCAATGTCACTTACACTGCGTCCAGTTCAAAACACAAGGCTCCTGATGCTCATTTAAAGGGCACCAGATTTAGGGTTTGGTTTTGGGGTTTTTTTTAAAGTTGAGATATTTTTCCTGTCTTTGTTGTCAGAAACGATTTCATCATTTTTGGCTGAATTCCCACTCGCAGCAGCACCCCTTCCCTTCCTCGCAGCAAGCCCCAATCCCAGGAGTCAGCCTAAGCATGCATGCATCATGGAAAGTTTCAAATAAAAAGTCTAAACCACCAAAAATAGGGTTTTACGATAAGAAGTGCTCAGCAACTTCCGTTACAGCAAAGTCTATCATCTGCATCTGTAATTCATGAACTAAAATGGCCTTTCAAATTAGACACATAAACAGGAGAAGAGGATAACACTGATTTGCAATAAAAACAGAATTACGACTCAGTAGACTCACATTCTTGTCTTTCTTTTCCCGAAACACTTCTACAGGAAGTGCAGACCATTTTTCAGAAAAGGTTTCCCTAACCATCACCCTGTCTTTTTAGACCTGAAAAAGATTCCCGAGCTGTAAAAATGACTCTACAGAAAAGGGGAGACACAAACGTACATGCACAGAGAGAAAAAACTGACTGAATGCTACATTCCAAGTTTAATTAAAAAGAACTCGATCAAAAAAAGAGAAAAAATATTAACACAAGCATGGAAAGATCAGGTTTGCGTGACAAGCCTCACAGCACACAACTAGCGGCTGTTTGCTCAAAACTGAACATGGTTTTGAGCAAACACACGAGATTATGAAGCTTCGCAAACATTTTGACAAATATGGCCTGAACTTTAAGCTTATGACTAAACTTCAAACCAGACATTCTGAATCTGCTTCTTCACAAAGCTCTGGTACGCGATTTGTAAAGTCCCGTGGATTCTCAGCCACAACAGGGTGCTAACATCTGCGGGTTTCAGTATTGCTGCTGGTACCTCAGCCCCCGAGCCTGGTGTTAGACATTTTCTCCTGGTTTGCAAAGAAAAATAAACTTAACTATAAACATTTCCTCCATGTCCCTAATGGGTCATTTTCGGTTTTAATAGTGTTGGGCAAATGTTCAAAGGATTATAATTTTCATTGCTATCACTAGAATCCTTGTGTGCTTTCAAATCCACAAATTAAGCTGCAACTCCAGAAAGAAATTGGAATTTCATACAGGATTTTATAAAGAATGAGGGACAAGCGCATTTCAAAACCCTGATTCCAGATAGATCTTAACTGTAAGACATTCCAGGGACGGGGAGGGGAAGAGAGCTTCAGATTTTTAAAAACAAAAGCAAGTTAAGGGCCGCTGACGTCACACACCTCCAGCCCCATGTCAAGGAGCTGGGACAAACCTCGTGAAGTTTTAGGATTTACATGAAAAACTCCACACACTGAGGCTGCCCAAACCATACCTCGTACTTACATGAACACCGGATAAACAGGTTAAATCTTCAGGCTTGAAGTTAGGAGGAGAGAGTGGAAATGTCCCTGCCTCCAGGTCGCTGGGCATCAGCCAGCTCTCGGCACCACTCCCCATCCTTCTCGGCGCCCCGGCGCGGACAGGGCAAGCAGCTCCGACTGTCTGTCCTCCACAGAAACATGTTTTGAACAGCAAGAACCACAATAACGCAGG